AAATTTTATATACAATAAGTAATTTAAATTATGATTTTGAATCAAGACATTTTTGGACTTTTCTAATTTTGGAAGTACTTTGATGTATATAAACTCTAGTATATTCTTAAAAATGACAGCTAGGGTTCTCGAGGAGTCAAGGGTTTTGGAGGCGGAAGACAAAGATGCTACGATGACGGACGTTGGGGATAAGGGTCGTCCTCCTGGGGATCCACCCGATGGCTCGTGGGCAAGCAAGGTTACGGGGAGCAACGCAGGAGGAAGGCCGAACCCAGAAGATATTATGGATGATGCTTTTGTTGCGGCGAGGCTAAGTTTGGAGTTCCCGGATGGGGAAGAAGGTGAACTAGTGATAACAGTAGGAGTGGAGGGTTTGGAAGCGATGAATAGATTGTGGAAGAACTGCATGATTGTGAAGATTCTAGGCCAGAGTGGATCGATCCCAGCTCTAAGTAGGAGGCTTCGGGAATTGTGGAATCTGAGAGGTGCAATGCACGTTTTGGATCTCCCTCGCCAGTTCTTCATGCTCCAATTTGAAGTGGAGGAAGAGTACTTGTCGGCGCTTACGGTGGGTCCATGGAAAGTGTTTGGTATCTACTTGATGGTTCAGGCTTGGTTTCCGGGCTTTGACCCGTTATGTGATGATATCACCACTACGCCAGTCTGGGTCCGGATGTCGAATATTTCTGTGAATTTCAATCACAGATCGATATTACTAGGAATTGTACGGGGGCTGGGAAATCCGGTTAAAGTAGACCCGATGACGCTTAGATGTGATAGAGCGAGGTTCGCTAGGGTGTGCATGGAGGTGAACTTAAAGAAGCCCCTGAAGGGCTCGGTGATGATCAACGGAGACCGATACTTCGTGACATATGAGGGATTAACTACTATCTGTTCTAAGTGTGGGCTCTATGGGCACCTAGTCCACACTTGTCCTTCGGGTGGGCAGGGGAAGGCTCAAGAGAAAACAACGGAGCCGTCTAAGTCAACGCATATGGTGGAGGTTGCATCTACTGAACCGAAAACGGGCGATGATGGATTTACAATGGTTGGAAGAATGGGGCGGAGAGGGGAGTCCAGTGTGAGTAGAGGGAGAGCTCCGGCGGGTGCTATGGGGGTGTTTTAGGAAAGTATCATGGGGTGCTGATAAGGAATCAAAATTCAGAGAATATTGTGACGTCGAATAGTTTTGGAAGTTTGGGGTTGGATATGGAATCTCAGACCTTTGTGAAGGATCCCACTACATCGGAGGCGAATAAGGAAAATGTAGTTTCACATATCCATATGGGGACTAAGATGAGTGGGGAGCAAGGCACGGTCGTAATCTTTGAAGGGAGTGTGGACAAGAGGAAAGGTGGGCCGCGGGGAGCTAACAAAGTGAAGAAGGTTCATCGGCCACAGCCCAATCTAATGAGGGATAACAGGCCCACTAGAGGGCTGGTGTATGGGCCAGTTCGTGGAGATCAGGATCTAGTCTCGGGTGGAAAAATGATGCGAGTTGAGCTAAATAGCTCAAGTCGGGAAGAAAGATCTATCGTTCAAGATGAAATGGTTCCCGTCGTTGAGAGGGGATTGGTACATCATCGGGCTCAGGAGACAGAGGGGAGTACGAGGGACTCAGATGACCCTGGGGACCAAAGAATTTGGCGGATCCAATGGATCTACCGAAAGGAGAGATGGTGACGCTTCATTTGGGGGATGGGTCTCAATAATGGTTCTCCCGGCTATTCTAGCTCTAAATCAAGATTTTTTGATGAATTATTTGTTGTGGGATTGCCGAGGGGGGCAAATAAACCCAACTTCAGAAGGTCGATTCGCTACATGCTGAAGAAATTTGCGACAGATGTTCTCGCACTCTTTGAAACGCATGCAGGAGGGGATATGGAAAGCAGGATTTGCCGAGGATTAGGTTTTGAGATCTCTTTTCGAGTTGATGCAGTTGGGCAGAGTGGGGGTCTGTGGTTGTTATGGCGGACGGGGATAGGAGTTGTGGAGGTCATGGAAGCGTCGGATCAATTCATTCATGTGAGGATAGTGAATGGCGTCGAAATCTTGAATCTGATCGTGGTCTATGCAGCTCCGTCGGTTAGCAGGCGCAGCGGACTTTGGGACAAGCTCAGAGATGTAATTAATTTGGCGAATGGTCCAGTCATCATCGGAGGGGACTTCAACACCATTGTGCGACTAGATAAAAGGTCGGGTGGTAATGGGAGACTATCGGCGGACTCAATAGCATTTGGGGGATGGATAAATGATTTTTCATTGATTGGTATGGGCTTTTGTGGGAACAAATTTACTTGGCAAAGAGGGCGGGAGGAGAGCATTGCCGTAGCAAAACGCCTGGACCGAGTACTCTGTTGTGCACAGACGAGGCTGCAGTGGCAGGAGGCACGAGTGTCACATCTCCCCTTCCTGGCATCAGATCATGCCTCGATATATGTACAACTTTCTCTTGGATCAACTGGAGATCCTAAACGACGGTCCTTTAGGTTTGAAGCGGCCTGGCTCAAACACACTAGGTTTAAGAAGCTCTTGGTGGCATCCTGGAATAGCGAGATTAGTACACCAGAAGCTTTGGGAGGTTTACGAAGCAAGCTGAAAAGGTGGAACAGGGAAGTCTTTGGAGATGTCCAGAGACAAAAGGACGCTTTGGTGAGTAAAATAAGAGACGTGCAAGAAGAGTTGGATCAAACTCAGACAGACGAGTTACTGGAGAAAGAGAGGGTTTTACTTAAAGAGTTTGAAGAGGTACTGGAGCAGGAGGAGGTAATATGGTTTCAAAAGTCGAGAGAAAAGTACATTGTGCTGGGGGATAGAAACACGAACTTCTTCCATACCTCGACGGTGATCCGCCGAAGAAGGAATCATATAGAGATGCTGAAGGATGACGCAGGGGTATGGTTGACGAATAGGCATGAATTGGAGAAGATTGCGATTAATTACTATAAGAGGTTGTACTCTATAGAAGATGTAGATATAGAGGTGGATAAGCTACCACGAGAGGGCTTTGCAAGCCTTATAGGTAAGGAGAATTCAAAGCTTAATAGACTCTCTGTGGCATCGGAGGTGGAACAAGCTATCATGGGGATGGAGAAGTTTAAGGCACCAGGGCCAGATGGTTTTCAACCAGTGTTTTATCAATATTTTTGGGAGGTTGTAGGTGGATTAGTGGTATGTTTTGTGTTGGATTTCTTTGAAACAGGGATCCTCCCGCATGATACAAATGATGCGCTACTTGTCCTCATAGCTAAGGTGCATAAACTGGAGATGGTTACACAGTTTAAGCCCATAAGTTTGTGCAATGTCTTGTTTAAGACTATTACGAAGATGATGGTAAATCGGTTGAAGCAAGTGATCTCCAAGCTCATAGGTCCAGCTCAAGTTAGTTTCATTCTGGGGCGCTTGAGCTCGGGAAATATTGTGGTGGTTCTTGAAGCAGTGCACTCTATGAAGCGCATGGGAGAAGAGGCTACCAAGAATAGAGATCGAAGCGGACTCGGAGATGGTAGTAGATATTCTTACGAAAGAGATCAGCAACTCACACCCCTTATCATTTTTGGTATAGTTGTGCCACGGTTTTACTTCGAAGGACTGGACTGTCCGTTTTTCGCATGTGTTTCAGGAAGCTAATCAGCTTGCAGATGGCCTAGCTAATCATGCTTTTTCCTTCCCTTTGGGTTTTCATACTTTGGTTTCGGTACCTCCATTTAGATGGTGTTTTGGGTGAGGATTTGGTACCTCCATATTTAGATGGTGTTTTGGGTGAGGATTTAGCGGGAACTGCACACCCAAGAAAAGTGTGTGTATAACTTCTTGTTTCAGGTTTTTGAATAAAACAGGTAGACTTCATCTCCTGTCCCATTCACCAAAAAAAAAAACTCTAGTTGAAAATCCATCTAAGTTTATATTCAAATACACTTTTTGATTTGACAAAAAAATGAATAACATCTCAAAACTGCATCTAAATATTGCATATCGATGATGAAACAAACAGCTCCTAAATTTGGATGGACTTATACAATTGCGGTATCAGATTCCAAAAGTACGTAAAAGTTTGTAGGACTAAGGAATTATCTTTTTCTCTAACTTTCGGTCCCAAGACACTATTTATTCGTTTCCTTGTGGTTTACCCACAGATCTTGTTCCTTGTTAATCTTATCCTCTTCATTTCTCGAATCTCTCTCTGACTCAACATGATCCTTAAGTTGCCAAGGAATAAAGTCACATGTTTCTTCAACCCCAAGACTCTCTCTTGTCATCTTTTAGCTGAAAGGAATCTACATCTTTTTTCTGTGTTCCCTATATAAATTGTGAGATCGAGGGGTTTCTCAAAGCCCCCTTACAAGAATCAAATCAGAGATGTCGAACGTGAGCTTTCTTGAGCTGCAATACAAGCTCTCTAAGAACAAGATGTTGAGAAAGCCTTCAAGAATGTTCTCTAGAGACCGACAATCCTCAGGCATGTCTTCACCTGGATCAGGAGGGGTCTCTCAGCCAACTATCAACGAGATGAGACGTGTTTTCAACAGGTTTGACTCGGACAAAGACGAAAAAATCTCTCAGACCGAGTACAAGGTGGTGCTGAGAGCTCTAGGACAAGAGAAGGCGATCGAAGACGTGCCCAAGATCTTTAAGGCCGTGGATCTTGACGGCGATGGTTTTATTGACTTCAGGGAGTTTATAGAATCACATAAGAGAAGTGGAGGGATTAGATCCTCGGATATACGAAACGCTTTCTGGACTTTTGATCTCAACGGCGACGGGAGGATAAGCGCAGAGGAAGTGATGTCGGTCCTGAGGAAGCTTGGGGAGAGGTGTAGCTTAGAAGACTGCAAGAAGATGGTGAAAGCTGTTGATGCAGATGGAGATGGTTTGGTTAATATGGAAGAGTTCATGAGGATGATGACTCAAACTCAAAACATTGTCTGAACAAATCTCTCTCTCTTTCTCTTTCTCTCTGTTATTATAATTGAAAAGTTCATTATTTAAACAATCTAATTTCAAGACATGAAATATTGCAACTTTGAAAGGACATGATCTCCAATGTTCTGCTAGGACCAATAAAAGATTTAAAAAGCAATAAACTTAATACTATAAAATAGTTCAAAGCAGATGAAACTTGTTACAGCGTAAGCAAATACTATTTCCTTTCCCAACTGCTAGCAGAGTTCTGCAGAGCTTAGAGTGCTATACAAGAACCTAAGCTCTTACCAGTAATCGCCACAAGAACACTTACCATCTCTGAAGTGATGGAAACGTTTGTTGTCTCTCACAATTAACTCTCTACCGATGATCTTGGACATGATCTTGATGAAGTTGTGACAGTCACCACACACGCGGAGATTCTTGATGATCGTGAGAGACTTACGAGCCGGTGTGCTTATGATACCATACGCAATCGCTAACCTCTCACTGTGGTAGAGCAGAGCCTGTTCTTTAGCCTCTTCGTCGATGTCATGCATAACCCATCGGGTTTCCGGAACATAAACCGCTCCTTTCTTTGCAGCCATCTCCTTCGCTTCGTCCTTGTAAAGAGTCAGATTCCGAAACTCGAGGATCCTACTCTTACTTGCAAGCATACTTGTTTCCTTGAATGATTTTGGTGGAGGGGTAGGGATCTTGTTGGTTACAGCCTTGGAAGGGTCAAGATCAACAATCAACTCCTCTGTGTAATCCTCTAAGTCGATATCTCCGTGTATCTTAGCATACTTCTTCATTGCTTCCCAGAAATCAGCTGTTGGTTCAAAAGGAAGCTCGCGGATGTACTGCTCTGCCTCAACAAGATGTCCACATTTGCCAAGAACATCTAAAAGACCCAAGTAATGCTCTGTTCTTGGACTAATCCCAAACTCGTTCTTCATCGAATCGAAATGCAAGAACGCTTCTTTCACGCCACCCGCAGTAGCACACGCAAGGAAAACATTAAGGAACGTTTCCTCGTTAGGTTTCAGCCCTTGTTTCGTCATCTCCTCGAACAAATGCAACGCGTCATCTCCCATTCCGTTATCACTGTACACACGCATCATCAGATGCCAAGAAGCGATATCCTTATCGGCCATGTGATCAAACACTCTCTTAGCATCAGTGACACTATTACATTCCCCGAACATGCTAATCACCATATTGTTCACTTTGGGATCACCTCTAAATTGAGAACGCAGGAAATGATCATGTACCTTCTTGGAATGCTCAAGCGATTTCAGACTCGCACAAGACTCAAACAGCAAATAGAAACATTCTTTATCAGGCAAAGCTCCCTTATCAAGTAACTCTATAGCATCTTTATATCTCCTGAGCTTGCACAAACGCATTACCTCCTCAACGGTAGGGGCAATCTCATTGTTCTGATTATTCATCTGATTAGGGCTTTGATTTGAGCTTCTGGGTTGCTGCGGATTGTACTGGCTCTGAGGGATCTGCTGAACATTCTGATACTGACCATGATTCTGATAATTGCTACCAGCACCACCGCGTTGAGGGTTGTGACCACCGTGTTGAGGCCTGTATCCACCGTGTTGAGGATTTTGCGGAGTCCATTGATTAGGGTTTTGCGGCACTCTTTGATTAATGTTCGACTGATTTTGAAATCGCTGAGAATCGAATCCCGGAGATGGATTCGGCCGTTGTTGCGGCGGATGAGGTGCGACGGGTCCAGGATTCCGGTAATAATCGCTCGTGACGGCGGATGTGCTCAGGTTTTTGCTCGAAATTGAGTGGCCGGAGGCGAATTGAGAGGGCATTCGGGAAAATGACGAACGTACCTGAAGCATAGAACCTATTGTGACAATTTTCTGGGTTCGTGCGCAGCGAATCGCCATTAGAGAAGACATTTCTCTCAGTTTTTCGGAGCAGAAATGGTAAAGGCAAAACCCTAGGGACTCTAATCTCAAATGCCCTTCCGTACCCTAACAAAATCTCAAATACCCGTCTTCTAAAATTTATTTTCTTTTTTATATTTTAAATGAAAACACTTAAAAAAACAACAAAGGATATGATAAATCCTTTAAATTACAAACTAACTTAATAATAATTAATTGGGTTTTAACTCACACTTAAATTTAAATCTGATCTAAACCCAAATCCAAACTCCGACCCAAACAAAATCCAAAAACAATTTCTTTCTCTATCAAATCCCTAATTTTCGATCAAAGCTAACTTTTCATCTTCTCCACCACCATGATTGAAGTTGTCCCTTTCTCCACCACGATCAAAACACAAACCGATCAAACACTCATCGCTGACATCACACCTCCGAAAAACCATCATCCGTCGACTCTAATTTTTCGATTATGTCGCTGCGTAGGAGAGGGGTTCGGTTGAAAACATCTTCCCCGGATATACTTCATCACCGCCGCCGTCAAGTTCAAATCCGCCGGTGAAGAAGAAAACAGCGGCGGAGAAGCGTCCGGCAGCACCGCAGAAGAAGTCACGGAAGAAATCAAAATCAAACGACGGAACTTTCAATGCTCCGCCTCCACCTCCAGCAGATTTGGTGACTGAACGAGAAGAAGAAAATCCGCTGCCGTCGAGTTCAAATCCGTCGGCGAAGAAGAAAAGAAATGGGGAGAAGCGTCCGGAGGCACCGCGAGAAAAAGAGAAGAAGTCGCTGAAGAAATCAAAGTCCAGTGCTCCGCCTCCGGCGGCTCTGGTGACTGAACCAGCAGAAAAAAGTCCGCCTCCAGTGACTAAAGGAGAAGAAGGAACTATTGTGGCTCCGACGGTGCAACCGGCAACCGGCCCGCCTCCGATTCCAGAACCGGCAACCGGTTCGTCGTCGCAACCACCACCGGTAAACCCTAAATTTTGTTGTACAATGGTTAGTATAACTTGGTCCAACTAGTCTGACTAGTATGAGTAGTTCAACTAGGACGGTTAATATAACTAGTCTAATTAGTTCAACTAGTCTAAGTAGGTCAACTAGAACAAGTAGTACGATCATTTTAGATTGCATGAAATATCGAGCCTAAGATGGAATTGGGTTCAAATCTTATGAATAGTATAACTATGTGCATGTGGGGAAAATATTAGGGCTTAGCTTTTTTCAAACCTTTTGTTTAATATTTTAACAAAATCTAGTCATCATTTCTTAAAATTCAGAGTCATTTAACTGTAATCGTAAGTGTCAACCGTATAGTAATCATAATCGTATTTAAACGAATTAATCGTATACTAAATTGTTTAGGTTCATAAAAACAAATGAACTACCAGTAATCACCACAAGAACATTTTCCATCTTTGAAGTGATGAAAACGTTTATTGTCTCTAACAATCAACTCCCTACCAACCATTTTGGACATGATCTTGATAAAGTTGTGACAATCACCACACACACGGATGTTCTTTATGATCGTGAGTGACTTACGCGCCGGCGTGTTCATCAAACCATAAGCAATCGCTAACCTCTCACCATGGTGAAGCAGTGCTTCTCCTTTGGCTTCTTCATCAATGTCATGCATAACCCATCGTGTCTCCGGAACATAAACCGGACCTTTCTTTATAGCCATCTCCTTCGCTTTATCCTTGTAAAAACTCGGATTCCGAAACTCGAGGATCCTGTTCTTGTTAGCAATCATGCTTGTCTCCTTGAGTGAGTTTGGTGGAGGTGTAGGAACTTTCTTGATTACAGCCTTTGAAGAAGGGTCAAGCTCGATCATCGATAACTCCTCCGCGAAATCCTCTAAATTGATATCTCCGTGTAGCTTAGCGTAGCTCCTCATGGCTTCCCAGAAATCAGCTGATGGTTCAAAGGGAAGCTCGTGGATGTACTGCTCTGATTCGACAAGATATCCACACTTGCCAAGAACATCTAAAAGACCCAAGTAATGTTCTGTTCTTGGAGTAATCCCATACTCGTTTCTCATCGAGTCGAAATGCAAAAACGCTTCTTTGATTCCACCCACATTAGCACACGCAAGGAAGACATTAAGGAACGTTTCATCGTTTGGTTTCAACCCTTGTTTCATCATCTCCTCGAACAAACTCAACGCATCATCTCCCATTCCGTTATCACTATACACACGCATCATCAAATGCCAAGAATCTACATCTTTATCGACCATGTGATCAAACACTCTCTTAGCATCAGTGACACTATTACACTCCCCGTACATACCAATCACCATCTTGTTCAGTTTTGGATCGCCTCTAAACTTAGACTGCAGGAAATGATCATGTACCTTCTTGGAATGTTTAAGTGATTTTAGACTCGCACAGGACTCAAACAGCAAAGAGAAGCATTCTCCATCAGGGACAGCTCCCTTATCAAGCAGTCCAATGGCATATTTATGTTTCTTGAGCTTGCACAGGTGCATTACCTCTTCGACAGTTGGGATTTGGTTTGAGCTTCTGGGTTGCTGATAGTTGAACTCACGGTGTTGAGGATTTTGCGGAATCCATTGAATAGGGTTATAATACTGGTTTTCCGGCGCTCTATGATTAGTGTTCTGATAAGTTGGCTTTTCCGTTGGCTTATTGCAAGAAGAAGAAGCGTAGCGGCAGAGTGGCAAGAAAGCAGGAAAGGAAGAATGTCGAGAAAAGTGGCTAAGGAAGAAGGAAAGAAGACGACGGTGCCTCTAGCTGAATAGGAGGCTTTATTATCTAAATAATATTCAGTGTTTAACTTGTTATTCCAAAACTATGTCGTTCAGTCTTTTGCTACAGTGTATTTAATGCAAGCCCGAACTTTAGGGTAAGATATCAATGAATATGCATTTTATCTAAACTATTCTCTCCTCTCTCTCTCTGCTATCCGCTAGGTCTCACTCTCTTCTGTCGGATATTCTTTATTTTCATACCGAGATAGGTCACAGGCTTATCAGTGGTATCAGAGCCAGATGACTAACAATACGGAGCAAGTTGAGAGTCCAGATCCGACTGCAGCAGAAACCCCCATCCGTGAGCCAGATCTACTCGAGCGACTCAGCAAAATGGAGAAGGAACAAGCCTGGATACGTGAGATGCTGGGTCAGATACTCAGGAACCAAGTGGGTAACGTTACTCAAGCGGGATTCACGACTCCCCTCACCACCCCCGCAGCTAACACCCAGATCCAGGCGCAAGGAAGCCTCTTTACGCCGACTGTGGAGAAGGCAAGCGGAGAGGGTCTCCTTTCCCCTCGACAGGCGAACACCCAACCACCGATGGCGAGAGAAGCTCAGACCGAGGCATCTGTAAAGCTGGTCGATTTACCGCTCTACGAAGGACAAAATCCCGAGGAATGGCTGTACCGAATGGAAAGATGTTTTGCGGCGAACAAAACCTCCGAGGGCGAAAAACTGGAGCAAGCCATGGGATGTTTGACCGGAAACGCAGTGACGTGGCTGAGGTACGTCAAGGATAGAGACGCAGTGAGTGACTGGCTAGAGTTCAAGGACAAGTTCAAACAACGTTTTGGCCCGAGTAGAGGAAGATCTATTGTGGACCAGTTGATGAATATTGTGCAGACCGGTACAGTCAATGAGTACCGTCAGAGGTTCGAGGAGCTGTTAGTGGAAGTGCCCCATGTTACGGAAGACGTAGTGGAGTCGATGTTTCTCAAGGGTTTAAAGAAAAAGATCAGAGACCAAGTCTTACGTTGTGCTCCGAAGGGATTTAATGACATCGTGGACAAGGCGAGGTTGATTGAAGCACAGGAGAATGATCAACAGGGTCCTTCCTACCGATCTCTGGTACCCAGGGCGAGCTATGTGCCTCCGTCAAACCAAACGGCGAGGGGTTTTGTCACTAACTCAGCAAAGGTCAGTGGGAACTTGCAAACCCCAAGGGCTTACGATGCTGGCAGAGACAACAGGAGACCTGGTGGAGGGACAGAAACGCGAAGAAATAACCCTTGTCGCCACTGCGGGGAGCAGTTCTTCGTTGGCCACAAGTGTAGGCCTCAACAACGATTCAGGAGTTTGGAGATTGAGGAAGAGTGTGAGCAAGAGGAAGAGCCGGTGAACTTAGAAGAAGGGGTTGAAGAAGTTACCCCTGAAATGCCAGAAGAAGTGCAAAGGCTACTGCGGTTATCTTTGCATTCAATGGTCGGCTTAACAGCTGAAAGGTCCATGAGAATGAAAGGAAAAATTGCAGACACTGAGGTGATCGTGTTGATAGACTCGGGAGCCACCAGCAACTTCATCTCACCGGAAATAGTGAGAACCATTGGGTTGCAGATAACCGAAACGGCAGGGTTTGGAGTATCTGTGGGGAATGGTCAGATTATTTCAGGGCAAGGGAAGTGTACTGGGGTGCAACTATCAATATAAGGTCTGGAGATCGTGGAAGAGTTCCTGCTCTTTGAGCTAGGCTCGACAGACATTGTTCTCGGTTACTCTTGGTTATCAAAACTCGGAGAAACCAGGATAAACTGGGGACTTCATGTCCTCCGTTTCAAGGTTGGAAATGACTGGGTGGCCTTGGTGGATGATCCCGCCCTTATGAGAGCTCAAATCTCTCTCAACTCTATGGTGAAGGTAGCAAGAGAAGGGGTGATAGTCTGCTTGCTGGAATTGATGACCCTGTTTGAAGGAGAGAAAAGACAGACTGTGGGAGTGAGAAAGCCAGAGATATCCAAGCTATTGAGCAGCTACGACCAAGTTTTCCAGATGCCGAAAGCATTACCTCTAGAGAACACGCGATCAATCTCTACACTGGAACTTCTCCTGTCAATTTGCGGCCGTACCGCTATTCCTTTACTCAGAAGAATGAGATGGAGTCTTTGGTGAAGGAAATGCTAGAGGCAGAGGTGATTAGGCCGAGCATTAGCCCCTACTCAAGCCCGGTTTTGCTGGTGAAAAAGAAAGACGGAGGGTGGAGGTTTTGCGTGGACTACAGGGCCCTCAACAAGGTGATCATCCCTGACCGGTTTCCCATACCTGTGATCGAGGAGCTTCTCGATGAATTGCACGGAGCTATAATATTCTCCAAAATTGATCTGAAGTCGGGTTATCACCAAATCAGAGTCAAGAAGGAGGATGTGGAGAAGACTGCTTTCCGGACACACGAGGGACACTACGAGTTTCTCGTGATGCCGTTTGGTCTCACAAACGCGCCTGCCACCTTCCAGTCTGTGATGAATGATCTGCTCAAACCTTTCCTCCGCAAGTTTGTCTTGGTGTTTTTTGACGATATCTTGGTGTACAGCAAGACGTTGAAGCTTCATCTACAGCACTTGGTGAGGGTGTTAGAGATGCTGCATCAACATCGCTTCTATGCCAATGCCAAGAAGTGTGAATTCGGGCAGACGGAAGTAGCCTACCTAGGCCATGTGATATCGCAGCAAGGCGTGGCAGCTGATCCGGGGAAAATCGAGGCGATTCAGAACTGGCCAGAACCTAAGAGCGTTACAGAGCTGAGGGGATTTCTGGGCTTGACAGGTTACTATCGCCGGTTTGTCAAGGATTACGGCAGTAAGGCAAGGCCACTAACCAATCTGTTGAAGAAAGAAGGGTTTAAGTGGAGCGAGGAGGCCGCCAGTGCTTTTAACAACCTCAGGAATGCTATGACGAGGCTGCCAATGTTGGTACTCCCGGATTTCAAGAAGCCGTTCATCATTGAGACTGATGCTTCGGGACCGGGCATGGGAGCAGTACTATCACAAGGCAATCGTCCCATTGCTTACATAAGTAAGGGATTCTCAGACAAGGGGAAGGTTCGGTCAGTGTATGAAAGGGAGCTTTTGGCAATAGTCTTCGCCATCACCAAGTGGAGACACTATATGCTGGGTAACGAGGTGATCATCAGAACTGATCAGCGCAGTCTGAAGTACCTTTTGGATCAGAAAAGCGTTCCTACAGAGCAGCAGAGGTGGGCTTCTAAACTGTTGGGATTGAATTATAAGATTGAGTATAAGCCTGGCAGCGAAAATCGAGTTGCCGATGCTTTATCTCGGAGGCCCCATGAGGAGGAGTATTCGAAGCTGTTACTCACGGCGCTCCTGACCATTGATAAGGAGAAGCTTGCTCTGCAAATCGCAGAAGCAAAGGAATTTAAGGAGATCATCAAGTCGATTCAGGAGAAGCATGCAGTAGACCCGAGCTACAGCTACGTGGAGGGTCTCTTTTACAGAGGAAATTGTCTGGTGCTGCCCCGTAACTCGTCGTTGGTCCCGCAGTTGCTAGAGCAGTTTCACTCAAGCCCTATTGGGGGCCACGAAGGCGTGTTGAAAACCTACAAGAGGATGTCACGAGAGGTGTACTGGAAGGGATTGAAGAAAGACGTGGAGAAGTTCATAGCAACGTGCAAGGTTTGTCAAGAGAACAAATACTCTACGTTGGCACCTGCATGGTTACTATCTCCACTCTCGATTCCCCACAAGGTATGAGCAGATGTTAGTCTCGACTTCATTGAGGGGCTACCAATCTCTAAAGGGTGGGATGCAATACTAGTGGTGGTCGACCGCCTCACGAAATATGCCTATTTCATCGCACTGCGACACCCTTTCTCGGCGAAAACCGTGGCAGATTACTACATGAAGGAGGTTGTTAAGTTGCACGGGTTTCCTGAATCGATGGTTTCAGACAGAGACAAGGTATTCTTGAGTCAGTTCTGGACTGCTTTGTTTGCTTCGCAGGGAACAGACCTGAGACGTAGCACCGCTTACCACCCTCAGACTGACGGCCAAACAGAGGTGGTTAACCGGAGCTTGGAAACTTACTTGAGGTGTTTTGCAAACGCCAAGCCTAAGTCGTGGAGTCACTGGTTGCCTTGGGCTGAACTGTGGTATAATACATCCTACCACACGTCGATTCAAACCACTCCCTTCATGGCTCTCTACGGAAGAGACCCCCCGAAGCTTCTCAGGTATAACGATATCCCAACTCAAAATGCTGCAGTGGAAGAGATGCTCAAAACGAGAGATGAGATGATCGTGGAGCTCAGGAGTAATTTGAAGAAGGCTCAGAAGCAAATGCAGTGCTCCGCTAATAAGAAGCGTCGTGACGTTGAGTTTCAGGTTGGAGAGTTCGTGTATCTGAAACTTAGGCCCTATCGACAGACTTCCGTAGCACTGCGCCGCAATGAGAAGCTAGCGCCCAGATTCTTTGGTCTGTATCAAGTGCTGAGTCGGATTGGGAAGATAGCTTACAAGTTGTAGTTACCCGCTCATAGCGCCATTCACCCTGTGTTTCATGTGTCACAACTCAAAAAGGCATTGGCTCCACAAACTCAGGTACAAGACATTCCCCGGATTCTCTCTACTGAACTGGAATGGAATGCAGAACCAGAGGAACTGTTGGACATTAGGAGTTCGAAAGGAGCAGGCGAACCAGAGGTGTTAGTGAAGTGGAAGGGGCTGCCTATGTTTGAATCGTCGTGGGAACCACTTAATCGCCTCGCTTCACAAATCCCTCACTTCCAGCTTGAGGACAAGCTGATTCTTCTGCGCAGGGGTAATGATAAGTTGGCTTTTCCGTTGGCTTATTGCAAGAAGAAGAAGCGTAGCGGCAGAGTGGCAAGAAAGCAGGAAAGGAAGAATGTCGAGAAAAGTGGCTAAGGAAGAAGGAAAGAAGACGACGGTGCCTCTAGCTGAATAGGAGGCTTTATTATCTAAATAATATTCAGTGTTTAACTTGTTATTCCAAAACTATGTCGTTCAGTCTTTTGCTACAGTGTATTTAATGCAAGCCCGAACTTTAGGTAAGATATCAATGAATATGCATTTTATCTAAACTATTCTCGCCTCTCTCTCTCTGCTATCCGCTAGGTCTCACTCTCTTCTGTCAGATATTCTTCATTTTCATACCGAGATAGGTCACAGGCTTATCATGTTCGTTTGAGAAACGAAGCTCGAAGGTGGATATGGCCGTTGTGACAGAGGATTGGGTGTGACAGACTTAGGATTCCGGTAATAGTCACTCAGATTAGTGTTCCTCTGAGTTTGAAAACGCTGAGAATCGAAGCCCGGAGATGGATTCGGCCGTTCTGGCGGCGGATGAGCTGTGGTCGATTGAGAATTATGGTGGTTATAACTTGTGACGGCGGATGTGCTCAGGTTTTTGCTCGAAATTGAGTTCACGGCAAAGGTTTTGGTCCCGGAGGCGAATTGAGAGGATATCCGGTGAGAAGACGAACGAACTTGAAGTAGAGAACCAATCGATACAATTTTATGGGTTCGTGCGCAGCAAATCGCCATTAGAGAGGACATTTCCGTGAATTTCTTGGAGAAAAACAGGTAAAATGCAAAAACCCTACGTGTGTGAAAACTGCAAAGAGACGACGAAACGCAGGAAAGCAAAAGTGATGGACCAATACACCAAGGCAAATAATGAATACGTGGCAACTGGTGCTGACGTGGCAAAGTAGCGGACCAATTAGGCCTGGACACGGAGTGGATATCCGGAATTTTAGTGATATTCGTGATCCGCTCCGCCCCGTATGGATCAACAATTTTTTGATCCGTATTTGCTTCGTTACTAATCCGATATCCGGTATTCAGATATCCGTTAAAATCCAGATTTTTACCGGATATCCAATCCGTTTCAAAAATATTAAATTAATTATAAAATAATTAAAATTATTTATAAAAATAATTAAAAATCAAAAATTAACTCATATATTAAATTTTAAATTGTTCTTTTAAAATTTTTTATTAAAATAATTAATAAAATATATATAAATTCACAAAAATTTATATATAATTATATTAATTATACATTCTATATGTAATTATTTATATATATACACATATATATCGGAGCGGATCGGATATCCGGCTCTTACAATTTTAATATTTGTTATTTGCTCCGTTTTAACGGATATCAAAATTTAGTATTTGCTTTGCTCCGTAAAGCTATGGATATCCGGATTTTTCGAATCAAATCGAAGCAAATAGCAGATCGAATCAAATATAACGGATAATTTGCCCAGCGCCCTAGGACCAATACACCAAAATAATGAATACGTGACAACTGATGCGGACGTGGCAGATGACATGGAAGCTGACGTGACGATTGACACGCCAATTAATATAGTTTAACTAACACTGTTGTTACCATTATTACAGATTTTAGCCAAAATCTGTTTATGAAACTGACAGTGACTCGAAAGAATTTTCATTCAATTAGTAATTTGATAATGTTTTGAAACCAAGTCTATGATGAATGTCCAAAGACTCAAAGCTATAATAACATACACTAGTGATACATTTTTACAGTGTTTTTTATTGACACAAGTAAAAAGATATGTCTATCTATACAGACTTTATTTTTGATACTTGTACTCACAAACACTCTTTAGATCCCTCAGGTATGTTAGTTCGTAGTAAAATCATCATCACTCTATTTACATCTTCCGCATCCTATACAAACCCTCTCCTTCTCTAAAAACATCTCTCTACTTACTTCCCATCGTACCTTGCTTAGCCTTTTCACCCAAAAGTTCATCATAGTCTTGAACGGAGTAAGCGTTTCTTGAAACCAATACTCGAGTTCTTACGTGAGGAGGAAGTTGCGTATGGTTGGCCGTTGAGAGAGCCTCCGAATCTGATATCCCATCCTTCGATGTTTTTAGGAACGCATGAGTCGAATAGGAACTGCCCGAGAACGCTGTGAGCGTTTATGCTCGTCGGTTGAATCTGGCGGAATAAAGATCTTTCTCCCTGCTCTTCTTGAGAAGACGATGGATCGTTCTTGTTGCTTTGATACGGCGCTGAGCTTGGTAAGAAGAAGTGGTCACATGGTCCAGTAGCTACTCTTCTTAGGCTTTGGTTAGAGTTCACAGCAACTTTCTGAAGGTTACATATCAGCTCAGAGATCTCATCATGCGTCCGAGCTCTTTCTCCAAGCTGACGGATTTTCTGTAAGTGAACAGATATGACCTTCTCTAGAAAGTTGGAGATAATTGTTCGGTATTGTATAGGGTTATGTGTGTAGTGTCCTGGAGAAAACAGAGGAGCAAAACAAACAAAAAGCTCAGATTTTTCTCACAGATTTGGCCATTAGAGACCCCTTGGTGGCAATCTACTAACCTGCATGAGGTGAATTTTTCCACTTGACGACTTTAACTTCTCCTCCTAGCTCCTGCAACTGATGGGTGAATCTTGAAATCACTTGGTGAGGAGCAAGATCGTCGCTCTCCGAGCATAAAATGAGATATGGAGCTCCGATTTCCTGAGAGAAGAAACATAAGGAGAAGTTTACCTTATGTAGCTACAAAGTTGAGAAGATGGAAAACAAAGAGAAAGGCATAGAAACTTACAACCGATGAGTAGAGAGCTTGCCAATACTCACTGCGTTGGGATTCAAATCTTGTGAGATATAAACCGTCGAGCCCCGAAGATATCCCTTTAGCCATCCAAGATACTAGCTTCGAAGGCCCTGACATTCGCCTTATCGTGGGATGTAGTGCGAATTTCGCATTCAAATCGCTCGTGAAATCCAACGGTCCAGAGTCGTAGACGTGTCCGGATAAACAGTTTCTAACTAACTGGCTATCATCCTATACAATTTGGGAAGAAACAATGGATGAGTTGAGATTAAACTGAAGAAAAAATAACAATTAAAACTGTATAAGAGATGATTCTCACCGGATGAATTTGAGCTTCACAATCACCCATGATCACCTGCATTGTATAATGTTTTTAGCAATATTTAGATATACCATTGGACAACAACACAAGATAAAGACAGATTAGCTGAAAGTTTAATCCTTTTAAAGCTTGCCTGTAAGACTTTGTACATGGAAGCTTTTGGAGCTCCAGAGAAAGCTAGAAATATAACAGGACATGGTCTGGTCTTTAGCTCCTAAACAATAAATACACACAACACATATAAAAATAAGTGACAAACAGTACAAATTTAGAAAGAACTCATCAAATGTCTCACCAGAAACTTAAGATGGAACCCAGGAAAGTTTAGCCAGAAACTTACCTCAATGAGCTCAGCAAGAAGATGGAATGCTAAAGAAAGAGCCATTTCAGGGTAAAATCTGGAAAAAAACAAAGACAAAAGAGCAAAAACTAATTAAAGAGATTCTCAAACAGTAAACGGTATCAAAATTGGAATATCCAAAAAGCTAGGTATAGAATCTTTCTAAGAGCTTGTACATGACAAGATTGAAAAAAGAAAATTCCGTTGAATCTAAGAACGATTTCTCATCTCTTTCTACCCAATTTTGTTTTTGTTTTTCAATTGGTCAAATCAATTTTGAAGAAAAAGAGGATCAAAAGATTCCTGATAATGCCGAAGCTGAACAAAACCATTAATTTGCTAGCAACAAAACATCGAAGTTTCATCTTCTTTCTCTCGAAATTTCCCGATTTGCTTTCTCGTCGGAAATTTTACTCAGAGAGAGAAGAGAACTTACGCAGTGAGAAAATCAGCACGGCAAACAAGCGAATTCCATCCGAGAGAAGAGTAGAGGTCAACGAAATTCGTGAGATGATTCTCGTTAATCGAACTCCAAGCGAAGATCACAACGACGCCGTTAGATCCGCCGTCGTCTATCTCTTTATCCGGCTTCTTACCCCAGTAAACCTTACCTCCGCCGATCATTTCCCCGGTTTAAATCTCCGGCGATGATTAAAAACTCGTTTCTGAGATTTGGTGAATTATTTATGAACCACTCGAAAAAATTGAGATCTTTGGGATTACGGTGGTGGTTGTTATCGCCCACGTCAGATCGTTTTGTGTATGTTACCTCTAGCGCATTTTAGCTCAAACGAGTTACAGTGCGCCTTTTCATACGACGTCGTTTGCCACGTCATGGGGATTACCGTGGAAGTAACGGTCAAATACGATAAACAGACTTGTTTTCTTCATCTACGCCCTCGTGCAGAGACCAAAATTTTATACCAAGAAGTGCAAAGTCTCTTTCTTTATGTATAATATATCTAAAATTTTCTACATATATATATAGTTTGTTTTGCAATATCATCTATCTATATGGTTGTTCTTTTTTTTTTTTTTTTGCTAAAGAATATGGTTTTCTTTATATGCAGTGTTTCGTGTGTTCTATTAACAAGCCAAAAGACCGACCCTTATCGCAATTAAGAAAGTTGTTGAACCAGAAAACCATCATTAGAGTTTGATTAACAGTTGTGGGTTTCAGAGAATAAGGTTTTTTTATTAATAGCAATAAGCGAAGCGATTACAAAGAAAGAGATAACCGTGAGGTTATGCCGAAGTGAAAAAAGTGTTAGCGAAGTAAATTAGAAAGCGTTGGAGTCTCTGGTTTTTGCTCTGTTGCTCTCTAGAATGTATTGGATGATCCTCTTGGCTTCCATGTCCTCTTTATTTATAGGATGAGAGGTCGGTTGCTCCGAACTCCTTTTCCTTTTTGTCTTTGTGTATCTTTCCATATCATAGATATGGAAATATCATTTATTCTCCGAGGAGTAAGGAAATTCTCCTTTATCCTTTGAATTAATCCGATGTTTCCGGTCTTCAAACGTTATCCTCAAGAGATTTCCTTAAATCCGAGCTAGGTCGGCGCGGTCTTTCTGGTCTTTATGGGCTTAGGCTATTGCGGGGAAGGCCTTTTAGGAAATGTGCTCATTTCCCCTCTAACGGTAAGTACCCCCCTCCCCCCCCCCCCCCCCCTCCCCCCCCCAGTTCGGTGAAACTGATTGTAAATCAGGTCGGCAGACTTCATGAAGTTAGAGATGGGTTTGACTTCGCAATAGCTGTCAGCTCATCGAGAGCGTCGTTTTGTGATGGCCAGCTCGGCCCGATTTTAAGTGGATTTGTCACGTGGTGCTTCCTCATAAATATTTTAATATTCTGGCCCATTAGGGTTTCTGCTTTAAACGGGAAATACGAAGGGTTTTGCCAAGCGGCGAGATTGTAAAAATCCTGACACGCGTCCTTTTAGAAAACTGTTGATATTTCTTCTGATTTTTTTTATTTTACTTCTACCTCTTCGTCTTCTTTCTTTAGGAAATCTCCATCTTCTCTGCGTTGATTTGATCCATTGATTTTTCTTCAATTTTTGAAGGCGAAATGAGTTTAAAGAAAAGAAACAAAATTCCCTTGCTAGATGTGGATGTTCCTGATTTTTCTCCGTGCAAGAAGCCTAGATCGGAAGGTCCGTCGCAAGATCCTGTAAAGGAGCAGTTAGCTTCGGGAATTCCAGCAGAAGATTCAAGGGTAGAGTTGCCGATCGAAAAAGAGGGCATTTTTGCGACGGCTGAAGAGAAAGGTTTTAGTCCATCAGATCCGGAAGTTATTTTACTGGAAAAACTGGCGGATACTGGTGATGAGCCCGACTTCAATCCTCACGAATTCTTGCTTCGTTGGGGCGGGGATTCTCCGGCAATGTTCGATGAGTACTTCGCAGCAAATTTAGCTTGGTTATGTAGGGCGAAGCCTAACCAAGGAATGTCAATGGAGAAATTGAAGCGATTCGCTTGTTTTTCCGGGATGGCGCAACGTTTTATGCAGGATTTAGGTTTATGCACGTCTTTGGTCGAATCGTACGATAAAGAATCCGTACGGGAGGAGAATCGGGTCAAGGAGTCGTCGGAAAAAGATTGGGAGCTTAACAGTGCTTTGGCAAAGATCAAGGATCTTGAACGCGAGAAGCTCAAGTTAGAGCTTGACTACAAGTCGCTCGAGATTGAATCTGCCAAAGAGATAAAACTTCTCAAGGAAAATCTCGAGAAGAGAGCGGCTGAGGAAGTTAAGAACGCGGCTGCTAAGGAAAAAGAGTTCCGGGATCACCAGCACGTCTCAATTGATCGCGTGGTGGAGCTAGTGTATCGGCGTCTCCGCAAGTGGTATGATCCTCGAATCGAGCGGTTAAGAGATTCATGGCGCAAGAGCCCGATATTCATCGGCTGGAACTTCGGATTGTTGATGCCGAGGCGAGGGCGGATTGTTATAAGCAGCTCAAGTCGGCAAGACACAAAATTCCGGTTGAAGATTTCTTACTTCATTATGCCGCAGCTGACCGTTTGAAGATGGAGCGTCATAGCATAAAGGATGCTTCAATTTCCTCAAATGATTTTTCTGCGCCTACGCGTGTTTATATGCGCCCATCTGATGCCGAGTTAGCAGCAGCAGGGATACGGTTGCCGAGGCAGCGTAGGGTTTTGTAGTAGTGTTTTTATTGTTTTTGTGTTTTGTTTTGTTTTTTTATTTTAGAGAATAAGGCAAAAGATATTTCTTTATATTAATGGATAAGATTTTACTTATGCGTTTCGTACTCGTTTTGACGAGTTAGACCTTAATTCTTAAGGTTTTTGCGAAGTCAAAAAGCTCTTTTGTCTTGCGATGCGAGGGCATTCTGTAGGCCGGTGCTGGAAGCAAGATTCATTAGCTCGTCCTATACCAAACGACATTCAGGATCGAATACCAAGCTTTCATAATTCACTTTGGTCCGGAAGGTATGATCGAGAGTCGTGCGAGTATTTTCCTCGTCTTTCGTCTTATCCACTTCGGAAGTAATTAAAGCGAACCGAAGTGTCAAAGGAGTGGTGATCAGCCACTAATTTTTGTTTGCTTGCTTTCTTTGAATCGAATGTTTGGCCAGAACATCGATTCAGCAAGATGCATTCGCATATAGCTCTTTTTGCCGAGCTGAGAAAGTTCTATGAAAGTAATTTTATCAAGATAGTGACTGAACCCGAGGGCTGCCTACGTACCGGAAGTGGGATCAAGTCATTCGTAGTTCTTAGTAGTACATTCTTTGCCGAGTTTACGGTTTTCAAGTATAATATTTCCTTAGATTTATGGAGTTGCGAGCTCGCTTGACTGGCTCTCCCTTCATGTCTTTTAGCCTGTAGACGCTGGATTTTATGACTTCTGTAATGCGATACGGTCCTTCCCAATTCGGCTCGAGTTTTAACGGGTTTATGGTTCTTTGTAAGATGAGATCGTGAAGTGAGAATAATCGGCTTCGGACTTTCTTGTTGTAATACCTAGACACTTGCTGCTGGTAATTTGGAATTCGTAACAAGGCTTTGTCACGAAGCTCTTCCGCGTTGTCGACTGCGTCGATCAGTTTTTCTTCGTTCATCTGAGGATCTCGAATCATCAAGGATCACCGGGCACTAGGTACATGTAGTTCGGCAGGTGCCAAAGCTTCACAGCCGTGGGATAGTGAAAAATATTAGAATGAGGAGATGAGAAGGCCACACATGAAGTGAAGGCCAAGCATCTCCACATCAAATAAGAAGAAGAAGAGAAGTGTAAAAGCATGACTTAGCCAAGAATGAAGCTCATCACATGTGAAAGACATCAAGAAGGTGATCAACCATGTGTATATAAGGCAATGGAGGCTTATGAGTCATGAAGTGTGTTGCAAGCCCAACTTATTGGGCTGTCCGTACAATCTCTTATTGGGCTGTCCGTACAAGCCCACATAAACTTCTCCAATCCAGCCCAAACTGTAATGGAAAGTGTGTGCACGCCTAAGAGAAGCTACCAAGTGTTCTAGAAGCTCTTCACTTGCCTCCATAACCGTTTGAATATAAAGAAGTGGAGGGAAGCAAGAGTCACATGTGTGACTTAAGAAAAGAGCTGTTATGTGCTGTCACTTTCAATCTTTGTCTTTGTGCACAAGTTTGATTTAGGTGTAATGTCTATATAAGGGCGCCCTCTCTCATTGTAAAACATATAGAATTTATAATAAAAGAGACAAGTTCTTGTTAAATTTGTATACATCTCTCTCCTTTATTTATGCTTAATTAAATTATAGCAATGTAGAGAGTGAGTTATATGCAGTTTAGGTCTGCCTTAATGGCAGACCATTACTTGTCTAATTATACTTCAAACCACCCAAACTCTTTCTTTTGTTCAGTTAGACACTAAGTTAGTGAGCTAATCCTTCTTTAATGAGAACACAAACTCTAAGTGTTGTTGTTACTCAAATATGGATTCATGTCTCATGCTAGTGCATCTTTTCTTTACTTAGTTAGTCATTAGATTACTGAATCTTTCCTTGGTTATGACAACAAACTCTCTAGTTATGTTGCTTGTAATACTCGGATTGTGTATCATACTACTGCATTTTTTATCATGTTGAAGTGAGTTCATTTGGTTGGTTAATGAAGAACCAATCACAAGTTGATTATGTTTCTTCTTATGTGAGACAAACCCTCACAAATTCCAACATGGTATCAGAGCAAGGCTATTCTCTTGGGCTGGACTCACTTCTTCTTTCTTCTTTCTTCATTCCAAGGATTCCTCTCTCTCACATTCTTGTTAAGCTTTGTAGGCAGACTTGTGATGTCTCTTGTCCAAAGCGTGAGGAGAGAGTGATAGGATGAAGTTTGGTTTTCAAGTACCTTTAATGGTTTTGTTTTTCAATTCATGAATTCTCCTCTCTATCCCCTCTTTTCTTACTTGAAGCTTTAGATGAAAGATTGAATCTATTCATACCAGCTTGAGGGAGGGAGAAAGATTGAAACTTTCACTTGAAAATATTTTACAAAAGTTTTGCCTTTGGTTTTATTTTTCAAACTCTTTCTTCTCTCTGCCCATCTCTTCTCTTGATAAGCTTGGATAAAAGACTTTATGTCTGTATATGCCTATGCTTAAGAGACGGAGAGAGGATGAAAGTTGGTTTTGAGTTTGAAAACTCTATGAAAATTATTTTGGGAATTATTCACCTTTTGTTCAAATCGATTTTAAAGAATTACTTTGAAAAGGATTTGAATTTTGAAAA